TGCTGTGACCCACATCAAGCTCACCTCCACCTCCAAATGCTCTCCAGCCCCTGGAGTGGGTGCATGAGAACATGCACAAAAACAAGAACAAAAACCAGCTTGACTTTGCTTAGGGGGGCAGGAAAAAAGTAACATCCTTTGTGAGGAAGGGCTGAAGGCAACAAGGAGTGAGAAATCAGATCATCCTGCCTTACCTCCCAAGCAGACTTATTGTGCAATCCTTCATTCAGCTCAGGCAGCCCTGAATCCTGTGGCTGAGCCACAGTGTGGGCTGCAAAGCCTGTGGGGAAAGGTTGGCTGAGTACCTGGTGCTCAGCCCACGCTGCACTCAAGGAGCAGAAAGCCCTTTCTTGTGTAAGGCAGGAGTGCTGGATGCTCCCTTTCTGCAAGGATAAACACTCCAGGGCTAAAGAGGAGAGGAGTGAGAGCAGCAGAGGGCAATGTGCTTGCTGCAAAGGCTGCCTGGAAAGGGTTAAGATCAGTGAGAAAACAGGACCTGGCCAGGTGCCAAGGCAAGCCTCCAGCTAAACCCAAGGTGGCCAGCCAAGAGGCAGAGGCTGCTGTCCTCTCCCAGTAACCAGCTGTTCTCCTCCCCCAGTAACCCAGCCTGCTGTGACCCATCCCCACAAATAGCCCTGGCCCCCAGCAGGCCCTGGGACGTGACAGTGACAGCACATTTACAAGGTGTTGCTAAACACTGCTCCTCCAGCTGGGTTCCTTTCTCTGAAATCATCATGCATAACCTCCATAAACAAGATTTTAGCCCTACTGCCCTAGGCAAAAAGGAGTATTTAACACAAGGAGTTGTCACCAAGCTGGGGGTGACCTGAACAGGATTCCTTTTCCAGCACTATGTGTGTGCTTGGGTGTGATTTCAGGTGTGCTGAGCAGTGACTGAGCCAGCTGATTTTGAGCTGTGTAGGGTGAGTGTGGTCAGGCTCAGATCTCATTATTAGAAGCAAAACTGGATTTTCCTCGAGGAGGAAACAAACATTACAACCCTCTGCTATCAGTACAACGTGCAAGTTGTCACGTTGTTGGACCACAGCCTGTTCCACCCTGCTCTGCTCAGGGTTTTGAGCTGCAAGGGCAGAACTTACCATGGGCAGACACATGAGTAATTGCAAGAGCAGCTTAGTGCTCTGCTCATCACGTCACTGTGGGGCTGGCAGGGAGCAGTTACCAACCAGCTGACATCAAAATGTGTATTTAGGTATTAACAAAGCTACAAGGATGACACACACTTGGGAAGGGAAGAAGCACTGAAAACCAGGTTGAGTGACTACCACTGTGGCTTTAAAACTTCAGGTGAAAGAAGAGAAACCTCCTTTTCATTGGCCTTTGATTACTCCAGACTCTGAGATCTCCTATATTACTACTTAATGCTTGTAAGGGAGAGGGAAGTACTCCTACCCTTACTTTGCACCAGAGAACTGAAACACAGAGGGAAGAACTTGTCCATCCCAACAAATGTCAAAAGAGAGAAGTAAATCCAGGCTACATAGGCCCTAATTCCTCATTGGAACAGCACTAGAAAGCCCTGAGTTAACCCATATGCCCAACAAAATCCACTGTGCTGCTCACAGCAGGTAGACCCAGAGGTCTGACAGCTCATCACCTCCCTGGGGGTACATGAAGTGCTGATGTGCCCAGCCAAGAGCTGCAGCCTTCTCCCCCAGCCCAGAGCAGCCAACATGACCCAGCCCTGGGGTTTCACAAGCTCTGCATAAACACCAGCTCAGGAAGAACAAATGCAAACCACATTTCCACAGAACTTTTCCCCAAGCAAAGGGGTTTTGCCCTGGGAAAACAGCTGAAAGAGAGGCACAGCTGCCAAAGCCAAGGGTCTAAGAGTCAGCTTTGAAGGAACAAAGGGTGGGAACATTGGTTTTAATATGGGAATTGATCTGGGGGGGGGAGAAAGCCAACAAGCAACAGAGCACAGACACGGGCAAAAAGGAAATTTACTTTGGACCCAATCCTACAAACTTAACGCAAGAGCTTTGTGGATGCTGCTCCTCACCTCGACTGCTCAGAGGTCCACCCACAGTCCCTGACAGACAGGCAACCCTTGTCACCCACAGCACAGCTCCTGGGTGGAAGGGACATGATGAAGGGGAGAGTGAATGCAGGACACCATGAGCAGGAGGGAGAAAGGAGCACATCCTGCTCTTCCCCAAGCCTCACCACCACTCTTGACACGACACGAGGCCCTCGGGGGAAACCAAACAACTGAGCTCCCCTTGTTCTGCAACACAAACCTGCCCACACCTACCAGGGGACACTGCTCCAACCTCAATCCTGGACACACAGGAAAGCTGCCCCAAAGCTGAGGAGGGCCAGCACATCCCAGAGTGCTGCCCATCAGAGGAAGGAGCCAGCCCACCCATGCACCCACTGCCAGGGCACTGTGCCAGCGCTGCCGGTGGGCCCAGGCAGCCTCCAAACTGCTAACAGGTGGCTTCCAGCAACAACAGCCCAAGCTGGATTTGAACTGCTGCCTGAGCACAGAAAGCTCCAAGTTTCAGCCTCGGCCCCCTCAAAAACATTCATCTCCCAGGATATATGTAGAGGAGTCTGTACCCAGAGTCCTTTCGTTAGTGGTTTCCTCTGCTGCTCAGTCTCCTCACACAGTGCAAACACACATCAGAGAACATCAGCCCTGTCTGCACGACCTTGCAACAACAAATAGCATGACAGGATGCAGAATCACAGAATCAGTTAGGTTGGAAGGAACCACAACAAGCCATCTGGTCCAACCTCCCTACTCAGTACAGCTTTACCCCTTCCCTTCAGCAGGCCACGAGGCCAAAATGAGGGATAAAATCACACAACATGCACAGGACAAAGCTGAAAGAGCCACTCAGCCCCACTTCCTCTTCCTGATCCCTGCTGGATGGCTTTACTAGCTTTGCTCAGCAGCAAACTGTGAAGGTGACACCAGTGTCACTGGGACAGCCCTGGTGGCCACAGCTGCCTGCTGGGAAGCCAGGACACGAGGGATTCCCACAGGAACCCTGCCAAGGTTCAGGCTGGGTGCTGCACTCTCCCATTCCAATAGCCAGGGTCTTGTCCAGCAACTTTTGCTGAGGCAGGATCAAAGTCACCTCAGCAATCCCCAGCCAGTCTGTTAATTGGGACATGATGTGGCTTCCACCACAACCTAATACTGTGAAAAACAGAGTGGGAACTGCCTTGTCCCCTTGGTATCTGTCCTCCTTTCTCCAGAACTGACTTGCTGCACATCCTATTGCTCACCACTCTGGATTTCCAGGAATCTGAAGGAACAACCTGTCAACATTCTGGACAAAAATCTGACTGAACAAATATCACAGAATCCCAGACTGGTTTGGGTTGGAAGGACCTTAAAGCTCATCCCATTCCACACCTGCCATGGGCAGGGACACCTTCCACCAGCCCA